TTTATTTTATTTTTAATATGAAACGAGATGGATCTAGTAAAGCCCAAATTTAAAAATTTGGGTTACCCATTTACCCGAAGAAAACCCACTAACCCGCCGGGTAAAACCCAAACCCGAGCCCGAAGATCACCAACTAGGTAACAGGTCGAGTTTGGGTAGGGAAAATAACATGCGGGTCGGGTTCGGGTTTGTCAAAACTCGTACCCGACTCGACCCATTTACATCCCTATTCCTTGCGTGTTCCTTAAATACGAAAACAAATCAAACTAATATCCAAGCTAATATTCAAAACAATACACGAGAAATTATTAAATAAATTCGACTTTCATTTATTTCTCCTGTGATCGCTATCAAAGTGACCTACAAAAAATATAATCAAACAAATGATTAACAAAATAATCATACTTTCATTTATTTCTCTTGTGATTGCTATCAAAGTGACCTACAAAAAATATAATCAAACAAATCAATACTTACTCAAATTATGTCAATTAATTAATCTAAGGATAATATTTTAACAAATTTTCGAAGACATAACTAGAGATAAATATAAAATAATAAAAAATTTGAATACAATAACTAGGGGTGTGATTGGATATAAATTTGACTAGTAAAAAACTCGTTAAAACTTAATTTTAACTCAACTCTAACCCATCCCCATTATCCTCAATATTATTAATATAATTAATATCAACCAATCATACTTACACATCACCTCAACTTTAATTCACTATTCATCCACTCACATAATTTTAGCTAACTATCAATTCAATAATTTTTCTCCTACTTTACGTAAAATCAACTTTAATTATTTTATTCAAATATTATTTTAATTTCAACTCAGATTTTCACTAACAACTAACCATACTATCTATTTTAAAATTGATATGGGATATTATATACTAGACCGGTTCGTCGAGACAGCCAACTAAAATAGACTAGCGGCCTGGTCGAATCGGACCGAGAATCCGCAATGAAGGAAAGGAGGAAGACGACGGAGAAGAATATCAAACAAGTACCAGCTGCTCGAGGAGTTGGTCGAGGAAGAACGATCAGAAGGGCGTGGTCGTGGACTCGACCACCTCATACCTCAGGGACAACTCAACGTTCGCTAGAGATCCGGTCAAGCATCAGAACAAATAAGAGAATCTCTAGCACGTGGGAGGAGGACACGCGACGCTTTACGAGTGGTCCACGGCGATAACGAATTCTGACATATTCGACGCGTTTTCTGACACCAAAGATAGTGGAGGCGCGCGGTTGTACGGACGAGCAGGAGGGCTGCCAGCCGGACTCGCCCAGGACGCGCCTGTAGAACAGGTAACTCGCCCCTATAAATAGGGACGAGAATTCTCATTTTACAATCAATCTCTCATATACTCTTATACACTTACACATATATCTTCATCTTTCTCAAGATCTGACTTGAGCGTTGGAGGCTCTTCACCGAAAAACACCTCCGGTGTGAGAGTTACGTGCAGGTTCGACGTTATACCGGCGAGGAAGGCAAGCTCGAAGCAGTTCTTGGTCGGTCGGGCGTTAGACTTGTATTAAAAATTAAATATGATTAACAAAAAAAATTAATCAAACCAATCAAATTCATATTCAATCACACCCTAGATCACCAATTAATTATTAGACATGAAAATCCTTGGTTACTCTTTTTAAAATTTTGAAGCTCAAAACAAAGTTAAATTCCAGTCTCTACTTTTTTTTTTGTCCAACGGCTAAGGGCATCAAAACTAAAACACAAAGTTACAAATGTCCAAGAAGCTAAGACACAACCAAAAGTTGTAAATAGAGAGGCCTACAAGTCAAAATGACGGTAGCCAAGAAGCTTAAACAAGACTAATCAACTAGCAACACTAAAACACAAGAT